ACAGTTACGGGGCTCACTTTTATCTTCTTTTCTCTCTTTTGAGAATCACATAAGGATTCTAATACTTACTCTTAACAAATAACAGTGGATACCCCATCACCGTAAACGTGCGCAGGGTACCGTTCTGGAAGGCGGGGGGGAGGGCGATAATTCGCTGCAGCGCCCCCTTTTCTTTATTACACCAATGTATGAAGCTGACATCACCCGCTCCGAGCATACCGCGCGAACGCGTACGCCAATTACGATATAAAAGCCGCCACAGTACGCTACAAAGCAAGGTTAAAAGTACCGTTCTACAAAACGTCGTCGTGCACACTAAGCGGCGTGTAAATATTTATGCGGTTTGTCTGCGACGAATGACATCACGCGTGAGTTCTGTTACGAAAGTGCACTCACCTTACCCCGTAATTACTTCCTTTTGTGCAACGATGACGCTTAAGCTCCCATCGTAGCTCTATAGTACCTTCCCCTGTTCGCATTGCGGCATAAACGTTATGTAACCGCTCTAGCTTTCGCTGTCGACGATATATGCGGTTTTATGCAACGATGCTTAACCGTATTCATCACGTCAAAGATTGCGCGCACACCGTGTTGCAAAGCGTGCCTGATACAAGATGTTTTCAGCGCTTCACCGAAATCGCTGCTTACAGGTGATTGGCGTGGTAACATGCACAGCATCAGGAAGGTGCGAATGCTTCTAAGGTGGCTTCAGCGCACGTTCGAAAGGTACGAATAGAGTGTGGCGGCATCATCTTCCAAGAAGAGGCGGCACCTCATACATTTTCCAATGTGTCATGTTTTCACCTTCTGTTCCTTCACGTTTACATATTGTAATCCGTTATCACGAAGAAAGGTTCCAAATTAATATATTTACTTGAGTATGACAGCTCTATATTACTAAACGAGCGGGTAGACAACAAATAATAAACTTGCAAAAACGACTTTAAACTTAACCGGTGCGGTAGTGATCACTGGCGATGAACGTGCCTATATGCTTCCCTCCCAAGGGTGTAGGCGGAAATTTTTCTCGGGGGGGGGGGGGGGGGGGGGGCGGTGGAAAGCAACACTTTTTAGCTGAAGTGGCGGCCAGCCGGGAAGATGTGATCGGGTGTACGGGTGTACATTTTAGTATCTGTATGCTATGATATGGTATGATATGGAAAAAAATATTTAGGTCCATCGGGGCGTGAACTAGCACGTAGCGGGCCACTCCCATGTCGGGACAAATAGACCGAACCTGTCCGCCACGTATGCCATGGCAAAAAAAAAAAAAGGAAACACGAGGAAGGGAACGCGGCCGCGGTGTGCCATCCCATAGCTGCGCCAGTTATCCCTCCGCTATCTTATCTCGATGCCCCTTCCTACCAATGTCGACGTTGTACATCTGTACTCCTCGGCAGTGTTATCTTGCTGCCTGTTTCCCCCCAATGCAGGGCTTCAACAAACCAGATTTTCCTGACAACGTTAACGTGGCTGTTTTCCCCATTATCACGAATAAACTTCATTTAATGTACCGTACAGGGTTGGGGATAGCCCGCCTAACTGCTCCCCCGTCGGAATCGGGAGGTCCAGCCTTCTGGTCCTGAAGGGGATACTGGGCAGCTAGGACTTTCTGCTTGTAGTCTTGCGACGTTATCGTGTTTTAAAACGTGTCACGACCAAGCGAGACGCAGAAACAAAAACAAAAGGGAGAGAGAGAAGATACTAAAGAGCACAAGTATAGTAAAGAGGTGAGATACTAAAGAGCATGTATAGTAAAGAGGTGAGAAGGGAAGTGAGAGCGAGGAGGACGGAAACGAGCTAGTGGAGAATCACTACAGAGAAAGAAAAAATGGAAATAAAAGGAAAGGGAGTATTGAGAGAAAAAGCGAGAAACGACTAGGAGAGAGTAAAAGTTGGTGGTGGTTGGGATTGTGGTGTTGCAACAGGCGCGGTTAGCCCGGCCTAAATGTCCGGCAACTGTTCCGCCTGAGCATCTCCTGAATCGTAGCCGTCTGTCACCAAATGTCACGCTACTCAGTGTCTCGCAGGAAAGCCATGAGAATGCGTTGCACGTTCTTCCTCGTTGTCTTGAAAGGAGTAAGAAAGGCACAAAAAGAAAGGGAAGAAAGACAGAAAATATTTAAAGACAGATGAAGAAATAGACACAGAGGGAGGAGAAATGAGCTTTATGGAATGCCCTGTACAGAATTGGAGAGCCCGCCTGGCCGCTCCCACGTCGGAACAATTAAGGAGACCAAGCCTTTTGGCCCTATCATGGGCGTGCGGGACAGCTAGAACATTGCTGCTTGTGGTCTTGCGACCTGCTCATGTTTGAGAACCAGAACGGACTAATGCCTTGGCGAAGTAACCCACACTCCCAGAGCAAGTATTTCCCCTCATCTTTGTTTTTGAGTGCGCGTGTCTTGCTTAACGAGGATGCACACTGGTGTTCGCGAACACGAGCACAGACAATCGCCATGACCTTCAAGGCGACTATGCGTCATCGCTACGGGAAGCGGTGAGTCGGGCCATAACGTACATGATCGCCATATATGAGCGACACTCGATGGCGCCGGCTTCCGGCAAAACGGTTCGAAGCACGACAGACAACAGCGAGCCATAACGCAGCACGCTCCATAGCAACTCGCGCATCCTGCTGGAAAGTGTTGGCTCCTCGACGCCCCAAGATAAGTCGGCCGGAAGGAGACGGTGGAAACGATGCCGGTGTTGCGGCTGCCATATATACACTTCCGAGCGAGACATGTAAGAAAGACGTCGCTCGTCGCCTATATTCGGCGCGAAATGACGCGCGCGAGCGCTCGAAAAATCAACGGAACCTTTGACGTCTTCCGCGCATTCGCTGAACATAGATAGGATGCTGCTTGGCGAGCTGCTGAGGCAAAGGAGATTGCGGCAACAGACCTCGTTGTCATGGAAACAGGGAGCTTCCGTGTCTGGGTGTTTATGATAGAGCTACCAAGTCGAATCTTTTGCAAAAGTAAGCGTGATAATGCAAGCCAGATACTGCAAGCTGCAGTGCACAGGCGTGCTAACTGTAGCGTAATAATGACCCGGTCTCTACAGCAAAAACTCCATCTTTTCATTCTTATTCTCGTGACCCATCTTCTTCCTTATCTTATGTGCCCCGCTTTTTGAATCCGCCCGTCCGCAATCAATGACAACATAATTCCAAGGGGCTAAGGCGATCACTCGGCAGTTAACTCTAGCCGACTTGCTTCCAGAATATGCACTTTCTGAAAGGTTCGTTCGATTGTTTGTCCAGAATCAAGCTATATAGTCGCAGGGTACAGATGCGCGCACTGCCGTCCTTTCCCGGGCGCACTGAATGAAGTCTTCCCGAGTATAGCGGACGCGTGTTGTCGTAAGCACATGCACAACGCCATCTTTGCGTAGCCGAGGTAGATTACCAGGAGGCTCGTTGTGCGCTGATCGAAGCAAAGGAAGGTAGGACCACTTCCATCGGACCCAGAGCTGCGCTGTGAGATGCTCACGATTGCGTCCTCTAAGCAGGGTCTTTCTCGTCGATGACGTGCCATCAGAAATACCGAATCTTACACGGAAGAGATGGAAGGATACTGTGGTAAACATTCATCGGGGTTGCAGTCAAGGTACATGAGAGGTCGGCTGTTGACGACCTCTCATGTAGCGATCATTGTAGCGAGGTCCTCGGCACTCGGACTATTGCGCCCAAGTGACCATCAAAATTCGCTTTTTTTTCTGATTGTACGATAAGTTCCGGCCTGCCTCTCCATCAAGAAGTTCCATAACCCACGAATTTCAACTTGATGGCCGGCTAACGCGGGAAGGCGATGAGTAGCTGCACGACATCAGCGTCGAGCTTTGTAGCCTCGAGCAGCACATCCTTCTGGGAGGGATGACCTAACGCGTGTGGAGAAGCTTCCGATGCAGCCCGAAGCTTCGTGATGTCACATCAGCGGTGGTGATATTTAAAGGTCCCTGGTTGGATGCCGGGTTTTGGCACCAGAATGTGCCGTAATAATGACCCGAGCCCCCGACCAAGAACGCAGCCTTTTTATTCGGCTGCTCCTGACCCCTCTTGTCTTTTATGTCCCGCTTATTCGCCGCAATCATCAACAAAACTAACCACACACATCGCGTTGATTAAGTGACACGTGTTCTGGTAAGAAGCAGCGGCGTCAGAGGCAATTATTGCATTGCGCTGTCCACGTTTTCAGTTTGCAATTTTCACGAAGAGGTGGATAGGCGGTCGAACGTATAGTAGGAGAACTTCGACATACCATTCAGGAGCAATATCCGATCAGGGGGCAAGGGGTGTTCAGTGCCACCATGTTGGGCTGTTCATCTTTTTGCATCGCATCTCTAACAGCTAAACTAACCGTGCGTGTTATGGTAGACGCATACACATGAAAACGGTCAAGTTGGTGCATACGATGTCTCATGGCCTTATCGATTCACATTGCAATATACAAAAACAAGAAAATGTCGACATAAAAGCCCAAAATGGCGACGTCCACATGACTTAGGTAAAATAGTCTATACCTAGTAGTAGTGCACTCGACATGCATGCATAAAAAAAGAAAAGAAAAACGTCACGGCAATCGCGGTATAACGTCACGGTAAAAACTTGACGGTAAAAACGTCACGGTAATAATACAGTGCACATGGTTATGGAGCTCAACTGCTGACTCAACGGTCGCGGGGTAGAATCGCGGCTGCGGCGGCAGCATTGCGATGAAACCGAAATTCTAGAGGCCCGTACACTGATAGTACGAAGCATCTTAAAGAACATTTGGTGGCCGAAATTTCAGCAGCTCTCCACCCCGGCGTCCCTCACCATCATATTGCAGTTCGGAACGTTATATACCATCAATTATTAGTAGTATTACACGTATAGTAAAAGCGATCCACTCTCTGCTTCTCTTTGCACAAGCTTCTGTCTCGTACTTTGTATCAAGAAGAGCCCATGCAGTGTTTTCGAAATGCCACCTGCGGTGACAAGGCTACACGTGACTCACTCAGTGTCCAACTTCCTCGAACTCCTGGAAGGCTTCTCGTATCTCGAGCAGGAATACGATTCTTGATCCGGTGAAGAAGACCTGCAAAGGAAAATGTCGCAAGAAAACGATGAGAAGTGTTGTGAAAAATCTTTCAATATTGATTTTGAAGCAGCAACGAGAACACCCAGAAAGGAGCCACGTTATATAAGACTATCATTTACTTAGACAAGGCGTTTTCTGTCCCCCGAATAAACCTCTTTATCTATTGATATGTCATTAGTGCACTTCAAATTGTAAAAGACTATGTCTACTTAGGGCAGGTAATAACCGCGGAGCCGAACCACGAGATTGAAGTAACTAGAAGAATAAGAATGGGGTGGAGCACATTTGGCAAGCACTCTCAAGTTATGACAGGTAGATTGCCACTATCCCTCAAGAGGAAGGTATATAACAGCTGTATCTTGCCGGTACTTAGCTACGGAGCAGAAACCTGGAGACTTACAAAGAGGGTACAGCTTAAATTAAGGACGACGCAGACAGCAATGGAAAGAAAAATGGTAGGTGTAACCTTAGGAGACAAGAAGAGAGCAGAGTGAATCAGGGAACAAACGGGGGTTAAGCATATCATAGTTGAAATCAAGAACAGGAAATGGACATGGGCCGGGCATGTAGCGCGTAGGCAGGATAACCACTGGTCATTAAGGGTAACTAACTGGATTTCCAGAGAAGGCAAGGAGGTTAGGGGGAGACGGAAGGTAAGGAGATGAGATTAGGAAGTTTGCGGGTATAAATTGGCAGCAGCAATCGCAACACCGAGTTAACTGGCGGAACATGGGATAGGCCTTTGTCCTGTACTGGACGTAGTCAGGCTGATGATGATGATGATGATATCATTATAGGTGAACCTGATAAATAAATAAATAAGTAAATAAATCGTAGTGGTAATTCACAGGGCGATCACCAGTGGAACCATCTCTGAGTGCGAAGCGCGAGCGATGTGCACGAGCTGTGGACGCTGAGGCTGTTTGAGTATTTCTGTCTGTACCAGCTGCGTGCCTACTACCAGGCGTCGTTAATAAATCTCCTTGCAAAGTGGTGGAGATGCTGGGTAAATAAATAAATAAATACAGGGAAATTCGGTTATTTGCGAATGCGTCATACGCTCCAGTGAGCGACATTGTCAAGGTCAAGCCACGCCAGTCATTCCAGCCATTTTGGAGACCATCTTAAATAGTACTCGTAAAAAAGTTATTAAATCATGCAGATTTCTTGCATTGAAAACAGTGCATTGCTCAATTGTTTCGCACAGAAAAAAATTGGACACGTGGGATCGTTTTGAATTTCACAGGTATATTAGTCACATTTAGTCAGTGTTGTATTAGTCACATTTAGTCAATGTCGTGTCTCGGAAAAAAGAAATCGCAGAGTATTCTTTCGTGTTTCAATATCAAATTTGATTTAGATTAAGGCGTTTGTACAAGGTGTTCGATGCTCAATAATATTACCGCAATTTTTTAGTCATATACGCATTCAGGTAATTTTCCGATATGTTTCATGTTTGCATTTTTTATGATATTGTGCCTATGTATGAATATCTGAGTAATAAATACTTTGCGGAGTGTATATTTGCGTTCAAACTTTTTTTCAGATAGTTGATGTAAAAGAGCCTTGCAAAACTATTGAAGCACCTATTTTATTTATTTGTGGTTTGCGTAGACCGATAGCTGAAGATAATTTTAGCATATGTCTAAGCGCCGATATGAAATAATTTAGTATTTTATACACGCAATAAAGCCATTATATCGCTGCCGACTGCATCATCACGTAGTGGCGCTCGCCACAACTTCGCATGTGGAAATGACGCCGGAAGGTTGCCGCCATATGATTGGATTAATGTAACGTTAGAAGCGATCGCGGTGTAGGATAAAAACTCAGGTTACTAATCTGTTTCTTTTCTCTTCTCTGTGCTTATTCATCGAACTCTTTACAGACGCAGCCGCAACAAAAAATTCCGCCATATCCACGAAGTGAATGATGATGAGTGGGCGAAGCTCCGGAGGTAAACCTGGTAAACCATGAATCCTCTGTACATTTTGCCCACTCGATTTTATTACATCGCTCCCCCTAGCGTACGTCGCCGCACTAAATCGAACGATTGCCTTCAACCAATGACACGCGCCATATGTGACATCATTCCTATTTTATAAGATCTCGCGTCTTTCATCAACTACAAGTACCGCTTTCTAGTTTATAACATCTTGCATCTTTTCATCATCAGCTACAAGTACCACCATCTAGTAAACACTACAAGAACTAAACGAGAGGTGGCTACATACAGGAGACGGTACCGCCATCTAGTGAACACTGCAAGAACTAAACTAGAGGTGGCTACATACAGGGGACGGTACCGCCATCTAGTGAACACTGCAAGAACTAAACTAGAGGTGGCTACATACAGGCTACAGGGGACGCACAGCCCACGCCCTAAGGAGCTTCGCCCCTAAAAAAGATCACTGCGACTACAAAGCACGATTAGCACGACAGGGACACTGGCTGCCATTTGGCCACTGGAATTTCGGCTTGCGCGGGTCGGATGTTCATACGAAAGACCTGTCTCTCTTTCTTCCCTCTTCTTGCTTTTGGGAGTTTTCGAGCTGTCGCTTTCCACACGTGCGCTGTTGAAGGGGTGCAGTTTCAGGTGGCTCATCGAACAACACGGGAAGGTGGTGGTGGGGGGGGGGGGGGGGGGTGTCAGAAAAAGAAGGCGCCTAACTTCCGCAGCCCGGTTGGGTGCAGCACCTGCGCGACGGGTTAGCAGTAACTCACTGTCCTGGTCGTTCCACAAGTTTCTTTCTCAAAATAAGAGGAGGGAGCGACTCGAAATGTTGTTAAAAAAACAGCAGAAGATTTCTCGCTACAACACACTAGCTCCAGCTGACGTTCTGGCAAACCAGGCGTCATGCACCACGTTTGATACTGTGGCAACAACGTCAACGTTACCTTGAAAAAAAGAAGAAAACAAGCAACGATGGGGCACGAGCTTCTGCCACGCAGCTTTACACGGGCTTTACACATAGGCGCTTCCAGCTTACTTTATTTGGGCAGCCTTCGGACTTCATGGGCGAGTGATGTGTGGTCAAATGACACCGCGAAAATCGAGCTGAGGGTCAGTATTTTTTTTCTCGTATTTTGAATTTTGTGTAAGCGATCCTTAAAAGGAAGAAAAGAAGATAAAAGTGAGCCCCGTAACTGTCTGCATCATAGTGCGACACCTGAACAGTAGTAGATCACGAGGGATGGAGCTTAGGAGGGATTAAAAGGGACAGGGAGGACCAGAAGGGATAAGGATAGAGGTAAGGACAGGGACAGAGAGCCCCACTTACAGAAGTAAAGAGAGGATAGAGAAAGATGGACACGGTCCAAGTAAAATAACTTCAGAGCGCGTAACATTTTCACTGCTTTTTTTTTTTTGCTGCATTAGTCTGCTTGTACTTCAGCCTACACAACCCACGAATAAAACATGGGGGTTGAATAGTGTTGGAGGGCCCCTTCAAATTTTACGAGAAAACATCACAAATTCGAGCTACACGTCATTTTGGTCCACATTTAGACGCAATTTACACCACGTGGTGCTTCTTTAAAAAATATGCTCGGTATACCTCGACTGAAAGAAAATAAAACGTTCTTTTAAGTCTTTCCAATTGGTGATAAGCACTACACCACCAACGCGGATCAAGTGTGAAGGAAGCAAAGGATAAACCAAAAAAGGGGCTTGTTTCTGTTTCGCCATCCATCCATCTACGACAAGCAAATTTCCACACTATGAGCAGTGACCCTTCCGCGGCCGCCTTATTTTAAAAGCTGTGACTTAAAGCATAGCAATGTAGAAATTCCGTCGAAGGAATGCAGACAGGCAGCTCTTTTATGCAGAAAGATGCCACCGGCGGAACTTTCTTGCCAACCAGCACCTGCTTCAAGAGATAGTATGGCGGGCGGGGTGGCCGCGCTGACGTATCAATGTTTGCAAGCAGGGAGAGGTTATTCCGGCAGGCCACCCTACACTAGGGGATTAGGGACGGTGAATAAAAATATGGCAAAAAGAGAGGAAGGAAGCCAAGAAAAAAAGGGGGGAGGGGAGATAGAGAGGCATTCCGACGGAATAGAGGACAATGCTACGGGAGCCGACAATCGTGTTCCAGCGCGTGTTAACTGTCGGCTAGTATCAATGTATTTGCTGTACCAACGAAGCCGCACACGTCGAGGCCCATGTTCTAGCACTCTATACGCGAAAAAAAGTTTCAAAAATTGTTACAAGGCAGGGAGGAACATCCCGTTTACCGGAATTCAGTACAACTGCTGCAATACCGGCACGAGAGATACAGTCGTTGTTAGGATGCACACTGCACCCCCGAATGGGGAGGGGAATCAAAGTATACAAGAGCGGAAATCAGACATAGTAGACCGTGGCCTCTCACTTTACATTTATTTCGACTCGGGAGAGCTTAGAAAATTGGAGGAGCAGGAGAGGAATGGAGGTAAATGACGGGCGCGTACGGTTTGCTACCCTACACCGGATGAGCAAAGGGATAAGAGGCGGGAGGTATAAACGCACGCAGGGTAGTCCCGCCCCCTCCCCTCATTGGTCATGTCCGGCAGAAAAATTCTTCACAATCAAACTGACGTGAAACATCCCACAGGGTAAAGGTACGAGGCAGAATTCCCACCCCTTTCCCCTTTGTACAAACAGGGAAAGCCCCTCACTCCCACCCACCACCTCGTGCACATGCTACGGTGGGAGAAAATATCAGCGTTGAACACGTGGGGCTGCACGTGTTAAACGCCGATATCTTCTTCCGCCATAGCATGTTAAAAAAAGCACCAATTCCACCTCTGTCGCAGTGTCAAGAGACATCTAGTGCGACCTCTTAGGCTGTCGTTATTTATCCACGCACCAGAAGCCCCTTAGGACGCCCGTGCGGGAGAAAAAAAAAAACGAAATAAAAAAATAACACGAAGAGCCCACACTGGAGTGGAGGACAACGTTCCATTCCCGAGAGTGCTCCTATTACGTAGGGACAGCGCGCGCGGGTCGCGGCCACAGCTACGCCAACCATAACTTAGTACCTGTTCAAAGAGTCTTGAATTGGGCTGGTTGGTACATACTGACAAGGAAAGAAGTAACAGCGCTAGAAAAGGACGGAGACGAGAAGACACAACCACAGTGCATTGTATGTGTCTTCTCGTCTCCGTCCTGTTCCAGCGCTGTTACTTTTTTGTCAACCATACAAAGCGCGCACTCGCGAACGAACGGCGACCGAAGCACAGCAGACGCGCGCGCCAACTCCACGAGTCCACGCAGGCGCAGCCCTTCCCGTTGCAGCGGCGGCAGCTGCGAAGCCCCGGTGAGCGCGCGGCGCTCGACAGACCGCGCCGAGCGACAACTCTACCCACGACGCGGCAGCGGCAACAAGCGTGCAGCAAACGCAAAGAACGCCCAGCCCGTGCAACGAGCCAGCGCACACGGCCAGGAACACCGCCGGAGATTTCCCTTTCCCGAGAGCGCGAGCGGAGGAAAGTAGCGACGGGCCGGGCGCGCGACAAGGCCCGAAGGTTCACCCGTGCTGCCGACGAGCGACGGCATCGACCGGACAGCGGCGGCGGCCGGAGGGGAGCCTCCGCCGCCCAAGACATGGAAGCGTCGACGAAGCCAACTCGCGCAATCTCGTTTCTGCCGCTTGCGGACTCTGCCACCGGCAATTAAAGCAGCGCTGAATGTGCACGCGGCGACCTCCACTATGGGACGTCGCGAAGACGCCTGCGCCACAGCGACGACAGCTGTGGAGGCGACTCCCACGAGGTGTCACGGCTGGGGGATAATGCAAAACGCTCGACTTTTCGACACGAACGCGCGCGCATACTCCCGAGTCTTACTTGCAGTGAGGTTAATAATCGCCCAAGTCGCCCACTCACCGGTCGTCCATGGCGTCCGTGTCGACTTGGTGCCCATTGCTTCGTAGGCTCAGACGCGCTGTCTTGCTTGCGGACGACGTGTGCGCCATGTTAGCTTCTGCTGAAGGAGAGGTCTAGTTCTCGCGGCGTCCGCTAGGGCCGACCCCGGTGGCGGCGGTCGTGCGCCCCCTCGCTTGAGGACGCCGTCCCCCCTCTCCTTTCGGCGGCGGGGACGTCCGTTGAGCTGCTCCAATGTCACGCGCTAGGTCCCCCCTTCTTCCCACAGGAGGCAGCTGCACGTCGCCACGCCCGGGGACCGTCTGGCCAACACCTGTGGCTCGCGGCCGGTGCTCTTCGGGGACGGGTGTGGTGGTCGGGGTGGACGACGCCATCTTGTGACAACGCGCCGGCTCGCCCCCGCCTGCCAGTACTGCTCGCGCTTCCTACTACGGGTCTGCGGGGGCTTCGTTCAAACAGCACAGCGGCGCGCCGTGCGCCTGCTCTCGCCCGCGTCTGCCGCCGCTGATGCTACTTGGACGTCGGTTGGCTGGGCGCGGCGGGGTGACTTTTCTTTGCTCTGACGCTCTGTCCTTCGGGACGCGCTTCGTTTGATAATGACGGGACGGGGGCGCCTGGAGGAAAAGGCTCTGAAAGCGCTCGATTTACAAAGCAGCCGCGGGGCACTTTTTACATTCCCGATCAGTTAAGGAATCGCGCGTTCGGCTACAAAGACATTTGTTACACCTCGGTGTGCGACTTGTGCGGCGGAAGAACAAGTGCCAACTGTAACCGGTGTCGTGGAGCTACTAGCGAAGCTATACCATACGCCTCAAGTCGCTTGGGATGCATAGTACTTTCCTCGATAGCCACTTATGCTGATCCACACTGCACTACGGCCTTTTGGTGGTCAGACAGTTGAAGTTTTCTTTCTCTAAGATGTCTTTTTTTTTTTTGTAGGCGAGGGAGAGGAACTACTTTCCGATTGCGGGTCACTCTTTCTCGTAGACTTGTCAACGGCCGAAGACACAACGCCACTAGTTCTGCACAAAGAAAGAGAGGGAGTGTATAAATGTCTTCTAAACAATCTTTACATTTTGTGTCAGCAGCCTAGACGTCATAAGTGCGACGTCATGCCTCTACGTGAGTACAAATTGAAAGTCCGAGTGCTAGTTGAGCGAAATTAAAGAGCGTCAGGACAGTTCAATGAGTATGATTTCCCCTGCCCTCGCCAGACAACAGCGTTATAAAAAGATCGCGAAAATAAACACAGCTCCACGCCTGGCGAAAGGTTCTGGCGGCGAGGATCTCAGTCCGCTAATAGCGTTGTCTTGTCGGGTGGTAAGCTGCTATTGCCATGTCAAAATACTTTGCATGTTTTTTTTTATTTCAAAGGCAACTCATTCGTACCATTTAAGAGTGTGACTACCAGGCGGGCCGCTGTTAAGATCTGTCTAAAACTAAGGAGACGTTCAACATTCGAAAAAATGTCACAGTGCAGTAAAGCTACAACCTGTCGCAAGGCAGCACTTGAAAAAGAAAAGGTTTGACTTCTCTAGAAAGCACTTCATGCGTAGTGACGAAGCCATTCATGAGGCTGCACGGCCTGAGTATTTCCGGTTTAAAAGAAACCATGTGAGCCTACAAGGGTTACAGATAGAACTTTGTGGCAAGACATTTCAAGTGGTGTACTTACGTGACACACAGCCAAAACCACATCCCACAGATGGTCTGATCAGAGAAGACCAATTCAGAGAAATTGTCTTTGTAGCCGGAGAATGGATGCAAGAGTAAACAACTATAGTATGCACGAAAAAAGGATGCCATTGTCGTCGCGAGCCGATAAACAGACCGTAATCTCTCGACCCCCATATGGGATCTTTCCGTTAAGTGCTCCTTTCTACCACGAGGCCATGATACCGTCGAGGCTCAAATGTGTGAGGGCTCAGTGCTAGCGATTTAAAAGAAAGCGTGTACGTGAACCTACCGGGACTAGAGAGAAATTCGCGGCGATACTTTCACAGTGATGCATTTCCGTGAATTGTGCGCTGCCACACCCGTGAAATTGTCTCATCAGAGAACAATTCAAAATCAGAATATTGTTTGTGTATTTGTAGAATCAATATATGAGTAAACAGCGACAAGGCAAAGGACATCGCCGACGTCGCGGGTCGATAAACAGGCTGTGCTAACTTACCCATGTCCTTTGATTTATCCCGTTTACCAGGGGACCATAACTGTCAAGGTTCTAATGTTGGGGCTGATTGACTCAAGGCAACGACTGCTAGAAATACCATGGGTCTATTTGAAAAGAACTACTTTCTAAATAGACCCTAGTGTTCGTGAAACCTCAATTGTGGTTGCTGTGCTCTGTAGCGTTGTGGGGTATATTGGGTGGAATGACCAAGATCAGGCCGGCGATGAAAGTAGGACTTCCATTTAGGAAACTTGAAAAAGTGATTTATTTACATTTAGAGAAAACGTTTACTGGTCCTCGTTGATCGGGCGCCCGCCATCTCGGCTTTCTCGGGTCCCTCTCGTCTCCCGTCCCCCTTGGTCCTTTTTACCCCCGCCGTTCCCACATTTCTCCCTCTCCCTCAGTACCTCAGTCCATTTCATGAAAGGCAGGGGCGGCTCGCAGTAAGAGGAGGAATAAAGGGGTATGAACCGTCAACACAGAGCCCGACCTCCCCCTCAGCTCGAAGGGCACGATTGCTCAGTTCTGTTAAGTCGACCCATCCGCTTCCAGAAACAGCGTCGACTCTTCCGCTTCCCGAAACAGCCGCTGCATTCCGCGGGACTTAGTTGTGGCGCCAGCGTGCCCGTTTCGCGACACCATGGTCAGCTTCTAGAAACAGTCGCCGCATTCGCGGAACCGAGTTGTGGCGACAGCACGCTTGTCTCGAACACGTCACTGGCAGCGGGACGCAACAGCTCGCTACCAAATTCTATAAAGATTACGTATCATTTCTATGATACAACCGTCACGTCGGGTTAACGTCAATTGTAGTTAGGGGCAATCCGCTGAAGTTGATTTATGTAGCAGCGCCTACGGCTACCATCCTCGCGAGCACCAGCGTGTCATATTAGCTTATCGCTTCTGGTGTTGCAAATACTCATGTTCCTGTTAGCATCGTTGCGCAAGTGCGAACAGCTGGTTATATAAACATCTGAAAGTGTTGAACACCTTGTTACGAGCCGTGTCGGTGGCCGCAGCGGACCCAGTAGGTAGCGTGGAGCTGGGTGGTGGTGGTCATTCCGCAGGCCACGGGGATGTTCAGAACTCCAGAGAGCTGAGGCAGAGGGACCGGCGTAGAGGAAAGCTTAACAAGACGTTTATTTGCAACATGTCAGACAGTAACGTCCTAACGACGACTCTTCTTATTTATTTATTTATTCAGGTTACCCCTAAAGGCCCTCTAGAAGAGGGTATTACATAGGGGGGGGGGGGGGCAATACAACATGGTTACAGCAAGATACAGTGCAACCTGACAACCGCAACAAAGCGCAAACCATGAATACGGGCAGCAATTGCATGGCGTTATACAATAGTTAAAAAACGAAAGAAAACAAAACAACAAAAGCAAAAAATATTTAGTTAGTCACCGTAGTGCGCATGAGCTCTGAAAACTTTACCGAGTCTTTCTCGGTGGCAATATGTGCAGGCAAACTGTTCCACTCAATAATAGTGCGCGGGATGAATGACTGAGCGAAACGAAGTGTGCGAGATAGCGGGCGTTTGACTTTGTTAGGATGATCACGGCGGGGAAAGATGGAACAGGCGGGTTCAAAGAAACTGTCATGTAATGATGGGTGATTGTAAAGTTTGTGGAAAAGTGATAGGCGTGCATATTTCCGACGAATGGCCAAATCCTCTAGCTCAGCACGGTTCTTTAAGTTAGTTACGCTGGAATAGGTAGAATAATCTGAGTAAATGAAACGAGCAGCTCGGTTTTGCAAAGATTCAATATTTGATACGATGTAGGCTTGATGAGGATCCCAAATGGCACTGGCATATTCTATTTTAGGGCGAATTAAACTGGTAAAAGCAAGTTTTTTTAACTGCGATGGAGCCTGTTTAAGTTTTCGTTTCAGTAACCCGAGAGACCGGTTAGCAGCTGCAAGAGTGACTTCTATATGATGGTGCCAAGATAGATTCGATTGAAAGTGGAGACCGAGGTACTTGTAGGTAGATGTTAACTCAAGTGTAACTCAACGAGTATTGACGAGTCTCGCGACTCTCTCCTGTTTTCTTCCTGCGGGCTGCTCTCCTGCCTCGCCGTGCAGTTCCGAAGATAAGGGCGGAATGTCACTTCGGGGAACCAACCACTCATGGAGAGCACAACACAAGACGAGTATCCCTTCACGCACGTGGCAGACGCACGTGGCACACGCGCGGGGACTCGGAGGCGACCACGCAGGAGGAATTCACGGGTGTTCTCGCGCTATAACTATCGTCATGCCATACCAACTAGCCCAAGCTGCCACGCTCCTACGGCACACAACCGGCCTTCCGCACATTCCAGAGGGGCCCGATCGTAGCCACTGCCCCGCAGGCGAAGCGCACAGCCGAGACAAAGACCGCCGGTGCAGGTGAGAAACCCGTACCCCATAAAAGAATGTTCGAGATGACGGGAAGGCACGCTTGGGGGCAGCCGGCCCAAGGACTTCGTTACTGCTTTGTAACAACCTGTACAGTGGCGGTCAAAATTTTGTGGAGCATAGGAGCACGTGTTCATTTACGTAGCGAAGTTGATTAATCCTGTTTACCAGGGGACTATAACTGGGGATCATAACTGTATGGATGGATGCTATGAGCGTCCCCTTTATAACGGGGTGGTGACAAGTATGCCACCAGGCTCGACAAAAAAAAAAAAAAACCTTTTTTCTTTTTTTATGTTGGCCTAATGCCTCTACTTCGATAAATTCTATCTTAATGGAAAAAAGGTAAATTTTCAGCTTAAGTTCTCTGCCATTTACGGCACACTGTCCATATTTTATTTTTCCAATATTTATTTTTGTCCTTTCTCTCTAATTTTCTGCCACCAATACTCTAACCGTCTCTTACTTATTTCAATCGCGGGTGTGTTCAGCTTTCCATTGTTGTCCCTAAA